CTCTTTGCAATTTTTCTGTAAACCTACAATGATTCTAAAATTTAAAGTTTATTCAAAATAAAAACATAGATTAAGAAAATTCAAACCTATTCTTTGTGTGTCCCTCATAGGTGAAAAGCTCTTATTGAAGCAACTGAAGTTAGCAGACACCCTTCAGCTTGAGTCTTCCTCTGCGTTTTGCAACTGAAATATGATAGATCTGTTTAAGTACAATCGATGGGTTAAAAAAATGGAATTTTGATGTATTTTAAATGAATGTTTTCCCTTAGTTTTGCTAAATGGTCCAGCTTAGTTTTCCTTGCTTTCATATTATTAAATTTTCTGGCTTATGAATTTTGTGTTACACTTGGCATGTGAACAAAATAAAAGATTTTACTAACAAGATTTTTCGTGCTTCTTTTGTTCTCAATGTCTTTATGTCATTAATTTTAAGGGTCAGTCTCATACTTTTGTTCTGATAATTTGGTTTCTTCACAGGAAATTTTGGTCCATGGCAACTCAGTTCTCTTTCATCTAAGACCTTGGAGACAGAAAAAAAGACTACAGATAACTATTATAAGACACTTATAATACTAATTTAGCCAATGCTTTTGCTCCTTATTATCTATAAGGATTATTAATGCTGACAAAACAACAGCACAATATGCCCTGCTTCCTAGCTGCATACCTGACAGGTTTGTTGTGTTGATACTCTTTCTCTTCTCAATACGAAGTATCAGGACAGGTAATAAAAATACAGTGCTAAAATTCAGTATGACCCAGTTGTGATGCAATATTGGTGATAAATGCATGAAGCAACATTTTTTCCACATTTATTATTCTATGTGTTCCACATGCATCATTTTGCCCTGATGAAAATCTCACTCCCCAGTTTCCTTTGGTTCTCTTCCTACCCTTGAATCCATTTCATTTGTTGGGATGGGGTAAAGGGGAGGCAAAACCACTGGATAGGTTTATTGGGAAGTTTCAGAGAAAGCAAATATAAAGGCCCCTGGACCTTACTAGGCACTCAGCAGACTTGAGTGCTCTACTCCTTCTTTTCCTTGCCTCGTGGATTTAGATGCTTTGCAAGGTTCTGTCTGGGATCTGCTCTTTTCATACCTCCTGTTCTTCTTAGTGTCATCTACTCGTATGGCTTCAACTGCCTCCTAGATGTCAGGGAGGACTGTATTTCCAGTCTCCCCCTTACTACTGATGTTCTGAATGACTCTTCAGCTGCCTGCTAACCAAGTCCATCTGGATGTCCCCTAGGCCTTCTCTACCGCACATGTCAAACAATATCACCACTTACTCCGTTGTTCAAGATGAGAAATCTAAGTATCAATGAGTATCAATGAGTCCTGACTTGACTAATCACACCCTTCTCCCTTCTCCTCACATCTAATCAGACACTGGCTTCTGTCACTTAAACTCCACTTGGTACCCTCAATGGATGATCTATTTTGCTTGTTGCTGTTTCCCCAGTGCCTGGAACAACGCCCGATATCTACTAGATACCTACTCAAATCATTTATTGAATGAATCAATCTGTGCTCTCTGTCTTCACTGCCATGATCTTTGGAAAGTCAAGGTACATAGCTCCTGAACTAGTCTGCCTGCCTCTAGTAACTCCAGCTCCTGTTACCTTCTTTCCAATCCATCTTATAGACTGCCTGCCACAAGTTCAATGGTGAAGATTCTAAAAAAAAGACCCCAAATTTTCCCTCGCCCCTCATAATATAGCCTCAGTTTACCTCTTTAGCCTATTCTCCTGTCACTTCCTCACTCTAAAAGTTCCCTACTTTCACGACCTTCCACACACATACATTTTTTAAAATTTCAAATTCCAACTCTTCATTGAGGTAATAAAGCAAAATAGGGGGAAAAAAAGATGTGTTTTATGACTCAGGATGTGGTCTATCTTCGTGAATGTTCCATGTGAGATTAGAAAAAATAAATACTCTGCGGTTGTCGGATGAAGTAGTCCATAGATGTCAATTAGATCCCATTGACTGATGGCGCTGATGAGTTCAACTATGTCCTTACCGATTTTCTGCCTGTTGGATCTGTCAATTGCTAATAAGGGGGTGCTGAAGTCTCTAAATCTAACAGTGGATTCATCTCTTTGTCCTTTCTGTCCTATCAGTTTTTGCCTCATGTATTTTAATGCTCTGTTATTGATGCTCTGGTTTTGAGCATTTCATGATTCCATTTTCTCCCTTCTCTGTTAGCATATCAACTGTATATATATTTTAAATTTTTGTAAGTTACCTTCCAGTTTGCAATGTACGTTTACAACTAATCTAAGTCCATGTTTAAACACTATACTGTTTTCATGGGTAGTAAGCAATCTTATAAAAGAATATTTCCAATTTCTGCCTCCCATGATTGCTGTCATTCATTGTATTTATCCATACGCTATAAACATTAAAAAATTGTTGCTATTATTTTGAACAAAATCATCTATTAGACCAATTAAAATTTTTTAAAAAGATTTTATTTCACCTTCATCTATTTGTTTTCCAACGCATGTCCTTTATCCGAGTTTCTAACCCATGCCATTTCCTTCACTCTGAAGAACTTTTAGCACTTCTTGTAAGACAGGTCTCCGGCAAATTTCTTCAGTTTTTGCTGACTCTTCGTCTTTCACTTTTAAAGGATAATTTTGCTGGATAATATCCTCTGTTGGCGTTTTTTCGTTCAACATCTTAAATATCTACACTCTGTTCTTGCTTGCATGGTTTCTGATGAGAAACCCAATATCATTCTTACTCATGCTTCTTTATAGAAAAGGTGTTTTGGGGGTGCTTGGGTGGCACAGTTGAGTGACCAACTTTTGATTTTGGCTCAAGTCCTGATCTCAGAGTTGTGAGATAAAGCCCTGCATCAGGCTCCGTGCTCAGCACAGAGTCTGCTTGGGACTCTCTCTCCCTCTCCCTCCGCCCCTCTCACTTGTGCTCTCTCTCTAAAAACAGAACAAAACAAAAAAAAAGGTATTTTTTTCCCCTAGCTTTTTTTTAAGACTTTTTGTCCTTGCTTTCTACAGTTTAAATATGATATGCTCAGGTGTAGATGTTTTTCATATTTATCATACTTGCTCTTTTCTATGCTTCCTGGACCTGTGGTTTGGAGTCCATCATTAATTTTGGAAAATAGCCATTATTATTGCAAATCTCTCTTCTGTTCCTTTCTTCTCCTGGTATTTCCATTATACCTATGTTATAGCTTATATAATTGGCCCACAGTTGTTGGATAGTTTTTTTTTTTTTCTATTTGCATTTCAGTTTGGGAAGTTTTTACCGACATATTTTCAAGTGCACTGATCTTTCTTCAGATGTGTTCAGTCTGATGATTAGTCCATCAAAGGCATCTCCATTTCTGTTAGGGTGTTTTATTTCTAGCATTTTTTAATTCTTAGAGTTTTCATCTCTCCACTTACATTACCCATCTGTTTTTGGATGTTGCCTACTTTTTCCACTAAAAACCCTTAGCAAATTAAGCACAGCTGTTTTAAATTCTTGGTCTGATTAGTTCAAACATCCCTGCCATACCCATCTGATTCTGATGCTGGATGTCTCTTCAAATGGTATTTTTGGGGACATCTGGGTGGCTCAGTCAGTTAAGCCTCCGACTCGATTTCCGCTCAGGTCATGATCTCAGGTGTGTGAGATTGAGCCCTGCATTGGGCTCCGTCTGCCCCAGGGAATGAAGCCTACTTAAGATTCTCTCTTTCCCTCTGACCCTCACCATACCCTCTAAAACAGTAACAACAAGAAAACAAATTGTTTTTGTTTTTATTTTTGTTTGTTTGCTTTTTCATTATGCTTTGTAGGTTTTTTTGGTTGAAAGCCAGACATGATGTATCAGGTAAACAGGAAATGAGGAAATTAGGCTTTTAGTGTAAGGTTTTATGTAATTAATCCAGGTAGGTTTGCTATAGTTGTGTAGACTTCAGTTTCCTCTTTTCCTTGTTTTTATTCTTCCCTGTTGTACTGTCTCCCTGAGAATACTTTAAGAGTGTGTCCTATCACTCTCAAATTCCACTATTATGACACTGGAGCCCCATTTGATGTAAAGGATTTGGGAAGTATTGTATAATCTTATGATTCTAAATCTGTTCCTACTTACCCTGAGTCCCTGGGCTGTGACCTTCAGAAGTGTTTCTTAGAGTTTTTTTTCCCTCCTCTTACGTGACACAAGAAGGCTACAGGGGGCTAGAATGGTCTAACTGCTCTTGCCCCAGGCTGGATGAGGCTCTGGTAATGTGGTTGGTTTTCCTTAGAGGGCAGGCCTTTGTCATGGAAGATGACCCAGGTGTATTTCAAAATAGTTACTTTCCCTTCCCCTGTCCTGCCTGAAACACAGAGGATCCTGATCTCAATCCTGAGAACTTGATGGGGTTCCTGGGGATAAATCCTAGGGAGTGCAGAGCCTCCCCTAAGAGTGGGCCCTCAGGGGGTTTTAACTGTCAAGCTAGTTTACACTCAGCCTCCAGTAACTTGTCAAAGTTACCATTTCACTGTTCCTATCAGTTACTGCTCCGGTAGCTTCTGCTCCCAGTAAGCTCGCTCAACTACGAGTCTGTCTTTCCAGTTTTTGCGGTAGTTTGCCCTGTGACCTCAATTCTCTGGTAGAAATAAGAAAAGCCATCGATTTCCGGCCTATTCAGCGTTTTCCTTATCGTGAGGATGGAGTAATGACTTCCAGGCCCTTCACACATCGGAGCGGAAACTGGAAGTTTCCTACAAACTTGTTTTTAGTTCTTTCCCGATTTTCTCTATCAAGCTGGCCTGAAATAACCCTCTCTGAGGAACCTTCCCAGACCTGTCTCTAAGAAATGAAAAGCTCCTTCCTGTGCGCTCCAGTGCTTGGCGCAACTGCAAGTATCCCCCATGCTGGCTACTGGCTCTGTGACCGACTGGCTAGAGAACAGGCGACATGGCACAGCTTTGCAGTTCTAGCACATGGTATAAATCAATGTCCAGTGAAATGAAAGGAAAAATGAACAAAACACTGTTCGCTAATTAAAAACAAAGTACTTTTATTTGGCTCACTTCTCCATTTATTAGAATTACCACGTTTGGAGAGGCACGAAGCACTTTTAACGTTTTACACGACTACAAAGTTATCACAAATCCCAAACCTTTTAGCCACGGATACTTCCCTTACTCCGTTTAAAGAAAAAGCTTTCAGAACATTTGAGTTAGCTTGAGACACAGAGACCCTGAATATATGGGAACTACATATTTTTAAATGCTTGCGCTTCCTGTTCTAACAATGTCTTCTTTAAATGGAATCCAGCATAAAAGGGATTGAAATACATAAGGTCAGATGCAAATGCTTTGGAGAGACCATGAAATTAATCTGTACAACATCATAAAAGCTGTTGTGTGCACAGAGCCCTGCAAGCATTCACTGAGCCATCTGCGCTTCCATGGCTTGTGCTGTCCATTCTGGCGCTGTCTGACTAATCTTCTCCAACAGGTTATTCACTTGGAAACAAAGGGACTGGATCTGTTTGTCCCACGTCGGCAGGGCTTCCCGTGCTACACAAAAGAACAAGGTACACAGTTGAACATTACTCCATATATTCACAGCAAGTGTGAGTTAAAAGATAAACACAGTAGTATTAATTTTCAAAAATCTATTCCAAAAATCTTGGCTAATAAAATTAAGCTAATTCAGGAAAGTACCCAAATTACTGGCAAAAGCACAAAACCAAAAAACATATCCACACAGATCCATGTTATTATTCATGAAAATAAAACCAACCAAAGTACCTCAATCACAAAAACCACCACAATAAAAGCCTCACTGAACCGATCTCATCACCAGTTTCTTGATTCATAAGACACTGCCACCTACTGGAGAAAGCAAATCTCTTTATATAGGCAAGGCTGTCTCTACTGGACTCTCAGGAGTAAGTATTTTAATGTTTAAACAAAAAAACAAAAAAACTCAACATGAAAACACCAGGATTTGCTCTGCACCAGCAATATGCAATTAGAAATGATAAACCTGAGGGAATATCCCATTCGAAACAGCACCCAAATTTACAAAAATGGGCATAGAAAAGAAAAACTAAAATAAAACAATTTTAAGAAAGGACATAAAATAATCTGAGTAGACACAAATGAGTCCCAGATGGAAAGATGCAATATCATAAAAAAAAGTCCTTCCCTGTTAATATATAAATTTTAAAAAAATTACAAAGATAATCCCCCCTTCCTCTGTTTTGCTTTCTAAACAGGACGAAATTATTAAAGTTAATATGGAAGAATTGATGTTTGAGAATAGGCAAGATGATTTTGAAAATTAAGAACAGTGGCAACACTGTAGTATATCTCTACCGCAGGATAAAGTACCGCCTCCATACCATGACATGAATGGAACCAGAAAGCACTACGTTAAGTGAGAGAAGTCAAAGGTCACATAGTGCATGACTGCATTTCCATGAAGTATCCAGAATAGGTAAGTCCTAAAAAAATTCAGACAGTGGCTGCCAGGAGCTGGGAGAAGGAGGGATGAGGAGCAATTGCTTAATAGGCAGAAGATTTCCTTTTGGGAAGCTGAAAATGTTTTGCAACTAGGTAGAGTTAGTGGTTGCACAACACTGTGAACCTACTAAAGGCCACTGAATTGCTCACTTTAAAGTGGTTCATGTTATGTGAATTTCAACTCAATAAAAACATAGCAGTGGAGGGGTAGGAGATGCTTTTCCAACAGCAAAATTTACTATAAATTTGTTTATTATCATATTGTTGCAGATCAGTGGAACTAAACAGATTACAGAAAGAGATCCAAACATGTATGTGGAACCTAATATTTGTCAAAGATCAGAAAGTATGTTTTACTTAATAAATAGTACTTGCAAATTAGCGATCCATCTTAAAAAAAAGATAAACTAGACCATACCTTAAAATTATACACAAAAATGAACTGTAGACAGATTATATTTCTAAACATAAATAAAAATATTAGAAGAAATTTTAGAAAAATATTAGTTTTACCACAAAGTGAATGAGACTTTTTTTTTTTTAACAGATTTTATTTATTTATTTGACAGAGAGAGACACAGCAAAGAGAGGGAACACAAGCAGGGGGAGCGGGAGAGTGAAAAGCAGGCTTCCCGTGGAGCAGGGAGCCCGATGCGGGGCTCGATCCCAGGACCCTGGGATCATGACCTGAGCCGAAGGCAGGCGCTTAACAACTGAGCCACCCAGGCGCCCTGAATGAGACCTTTTAAATCAATACAGGAAACTAAAAAGCCATAAAATTAAAAACTGACATATTTGGCTGCGTAAGAATTTTAAAATGTGTTTATGGTATGCATTGCCTTACTTCAGAGACACAACTGACATGATTTAATAATTTGGTTTTTATTTGTTTTGTTTGCTTGCCTTATGAAAAGATCACAATCATTCTGGCTGTACTATGGCAATTGGACCAGAAAGGAGCAACTGCAGACGTGAGGGGGGAAAAGCCCAGAAGGTGGGGGAGGTTTCAGAATAGGCTGGTGACAGTAAGAAATGAAGACAAGTATACGGGTTCCAGATGCACCTAGGAGATAAAACTGAAAGGATTCTGGGCAGCAAAGAAGAGGGGCCAAGGATAAGGAATTCTGGAGAAAGTGAACAATGCAGCTTTTGGCTGGCTGGCTGGCTGGCTGGCTGGCGGGTTGTGGAAGGGAGACAAGGAGGGAAGATAATGAATTCAGTTTGGGATATGTTCATTCTGAGATGCTCAACAAACAAACAGGTGGAAAATACCTAGTAGTCACTTAACACCACTGGGTCAAATTCTCAGAAGAGAATTATACCCTAGAAAGGCAAATATAAGCATTGTCCACACAGAGATGGCAACTCAATCAATGGGAACAGATGGGATTACCAAGGGGAACAGTAGAGTGAGGAGGAAAAGGCCTGGAGTTAGCCCTAAGCAATATTGATATTAAAAGGCACCACAGAATCTACAAAGATGACTGGAAAAATCGCTGGAAAAGGAGGAGGGAAAGCAGGAGAATGGGGTGAAAGAGATGAAGGAATCAAGACGGTGTGGATGGTGGGGATAGTTCAAAAAGTCGTAAAGGATCAATGCTACTCAATATGCTGAAAAGTCAAAATGAGGCCTGAAAGATAAAAAGATCTTTGTTAAAATGGGAGAGACCCAAGTATGTTTAAATATTGATGGAAAGAAGCCAACAGAGCAAAAAAGAATGAAAACAGACAAAATAACTGCTAATTTCAAGTTCCTAAAAAATTGTTTTTAAGAGGGAGGGACACCAGTCAGAAAAGGAATCCAAAGCACAAGGAGACCTGGAAAGGGAGACAGAAACCACCTCCAGTATAACACAAAGGAAGAAAAAGATAATCACATGATATTTAAAATTCAGAAGTTTCATAAATCTGATCAAGAAGTTAATTTAATTTCAAACTGATATTTTTTTCTGTGAAACAGGAAACAAGGTTTGCTGCTGAGTGAAGGAGGAGAAAAGTCTGAGATTTAAGAAAAATGAAATCTGAAATACCCACTGCAGAGTAGGAAAAAAGGGTGGATTAGAGAAATGTGTCAATAATCCCAGGTACTGGGGCGCCTGGGTGGCTCGCCATTAAGCATCTGCCTTCGGCTCAGGTCATGATCCCAGGGTCCTGGGATCGAGCCCCACATCGGGCTCCCTGCTCCACAGGAAGCCTGCTTCTCCCTCTCCCACTCCCCCTGCTTGTGTTCCCTCTATTGCTGTCCCTCTTTCTGTCAAATAAATAAATAAAAATCTTACAAAAAAAAGAATCCCAGGTACTGTTGAGAACCCATGACCTTGAATTTGCAGTGGTTATCAATCTGTCTGGTGTTCTGACTCTCCTCCAACATTAGTTAGCTACCCAAGTACAGGAATGAAAAAGATGGAGAATGGGTTCATTACAGGTGAAGCTTTCCTGGACAGCCGGAACAAAAAGTTAACAAGCAAGGCATCTAGGGCACCTGGGAAACAGTAATGAAAATAATGATCAGGGTGCCTGGATGGCTCAGTCGGTTGAGTGAACAACTCTTGGTTTCAGGTCAGGTCATGATCTGGGGGTCCTGGGACTGAGCCCTGCGTTGGGCTTTGCGCTCAGTGTGGAGTCTGCTGGAGACTCTCTCTCTCTCCCTTTGCTCCTTCCCAGCTCACACACTCTCTCTCTCTCTAAAATAAAAATTAATAAAATCTTACAAAAAAAATAAAGATACAATGAATCATGGATGCCAACCTGGATAGGAAGAGTGAAGACAAAAAAGGGCTGGGCTGACTGGAAAAAAGTTAACATTAATGGACCGGAGGCTCGAAAGTAGTCAGGGAGGAGCTGAAGTGGAACTTAACTGACACAGACTGCTAGAAAGGGTAAAGGTTATGGTGAGAGTATTTCAAATTCAAATCTTACAAGTAGCACGGTTCCAGGTACAGCAAGGTCCAGGGTGGAAATGAGGTAAGAATAGGGGCTGAGGAGGAATAGGCTTGACGAGAGTCAAGAGATAGACTTATCTGTCTGCCTCCGTGAGTTTAACGCGCTGCTGAAGAAGAAATCCACTGGCATCTCTACATGCCTGATACATTGTATGTGGTGTTTGATGAGTAAGTGAATGAACTGGCATAACGATTCCAGTTTCTAATTTTTCCACAGCATAAAAAATGCTTCATTAAGTAGATCCATGAATGTAAGTTCATAAAAATTATTTTAAATTATTTCTTTGGGAAATAAGTTCATTCCAGTAGTAATATACTGGGTCAAAGGAAATTGTTCAACATGTCTTAATCATAAATATACAAGAGTTTCCTGCCATCTCATTATGATAGAAATAAGCCAAACCTCTTACTTTCAAAATGAACTATTCCATCAATCTGATCAATAAATCCATTCATACGTCCTTCTGTTATCATTTGTGATGCTATTTTTTCTGCCTGTGAAAAAAAAAAATCCAAAGAAACAATAAACTCTCACAAACTTTATCATACCTAACAGTTACTCACATATAAGAGAACTGAAATCTCTTGGTTTAGCTACCCACACACTTTCTGTATTGTTCATCTGCCATTCACCACAAGATTATTCTTGTAAATCTGCCTATTTTATCCCCCAGTTCTTTCTGGGTATAACTGATTATTTTAATATATCGTGGGATCTGTTTTACTTGTGAGATTTTGGACAAGAACCTAGCACTCTTACCAATTTCTTCCTCTGCTTAAAATCAAACTAACAATTTTTCTTCTGAGATCCACACCTCAAAAAAACCCAAACAAACTGGTTTTTCTTTTTATTTCATTTAAATTTACAGTGTTTATCACCTAAAAAATTCTTTAAGAAAATAATATTTTTGAAGAAAGTAGTATTCTGGAGGAATGATGTTCAAATTTAAAAGGGCATTAAAAAGGGGTACTTGGCTGCCTCAGCTGGTAGAGCCTGGGACTCTTGATTTTGGTGTTGTGAGTTCGAGCCCCACGCTGGGTGTAGAGATTACTTAAAAAAATAAAATCTTTTTTAAGCACTCGTGCGTGAGGCGAGCGGAGCCGGAGTCGAGACCAGAGGCCGAACTCGGGATCTGACAAGATGGCCGGGCTGCCCCGCAGGATTATCAAGGAAACCCATCGTTTGCTGGCAGAACCAGTTCCTGGCATTAAAGCAGAACCAGATGAGAGCAACGCCCGTTATTTTCATGTGGTCATTGCTGGCCCCCAGGATTCCCCCTTTGAGGGAGGGACTTTTAAGCTTGAACTATTCCTACCAGAAGAATACCCGATGGCAGCCCCTAAAGTACATTTCATGACCAAAATTTATCATCCTAATGTAGACAAGTTGGGAAGAATATGTTTAGATATTTTGAAAGATAAGTGGTCCCCAGCACTGCAGATCTGCACAGTTCTGCTATCGATCCAGGCTTTGTTAAGTGCTCCCAATCCAGATGATCCATTAGCAAATGATGTAGCGGAGCAGTGGAAGACCAACGAAGCCCAAGCCATAGAAACAGCTAGAGCATGGACTAGGCTATATGCCATGAATAATATTTAAAATCGATCTGATCATCAAGTTCTCCTGTTCTCCTGTTCTGCCAAGACTTCTTCCTTTTTTGTTTGCATTTAATGGACACAGTCTTAGAAACATTACAGAATAAAAGCCCAGACATCTTCAGTCCTTTGGTGATTAAATACACATTAGCAAACCTATGTCTTGTCCTGATTCACTGTTGTAAAGCATGAGCAGAGGCTAGAAGTACCATCTGGATTGTTGTGAAACATTTAAAAGCAGTGGCCCTTCTCTGCTTTTATTCATTTCCCCATCATGGTTTGAGTATAAAGCACTGTGAATGAAGGTAGTTGTCAGGGTTCGCTGCAGGGGTGTGGGTGTTTTTCTTTATTACTTTTTTTGAGGGGGAGAGGTAGTTTTATTTTAATTTTTTGGGCTCCTTTCCCCCCTTTTATGGTGATCTAATTGCATTGGTTAAAAGCAGCTAACCAGTTCTTTAGAATATGCTCTCTAGCCAAGTCTAACTTTATTTAGACGCTGTAGATGGACAAGCTTGATTGTTTGAACCAAAATGGGAACATTAAACAAACATCACAGCCCTCACTAATACCATTGTGACTTGCTGTCAAGTGTAGAATCCTTCCTTCAAGAAAAAGCTTGTGACCATTTTGTATGGCTTGTCTGGAAACTTCTGTAAATCTTATGTTTTAGTAAAATATTTTTTGTTATTCTAAAAAAAAAAAATCTTTTTTAAAAATTTAAATAAATAGATAAGTGAAAATTAAAAGAATTCTAGGGGCGCCTGGGTGGCTCAGTCATTAAGTGCCTGCCTTCAGCTCAGGTCATGATCCCAGGGTCCTGGGATCGAGCCCTGCATCGGGCTCCCTGCTCGGCGGGAAGCCTGCTTCTCCCTCTCTCACTCCCACTGCTTGTGTTCCCTCTCTCGCTGTGTCTCTCTGTCAAATAAATAAATAAAATCTTTAAAAAAAAATTAAAAGGATTCTAGGGGCGCCTGGGTGGCTCAGTTGGTTAATCGACTGCCTTCGGCTCGGGTCATGATCCTAGAGTCCCAGGATCGAGTCCCGCATCAGGCTCCCTGCTCGTAGGGGAGTCTGCTTCTCCCTCTGACCTTCCCCCTTCTCCTGTACTCTCTCTCTCTCATTCTCTCTCTCAAATAAATAAATAAAATCTTAAAAAAAAAATTAAAAGGATTCTAAAGACAATTAAAGAGAGGGGCGCCTGGGTGTCTCAGTCGGTTAAGCATCTACCTTTGGCTCAGGTCATGATCTTGGGGTCCTGGGATCGAGTGAGCCTGCTTCTCCCGCTCACTCTCCCTCAGTGCTCTCCCTCTATTTCTCTCTCTCTCAGATAAATAAATAAAATCTTCAAAAAAAAAATAAAGACATTAAAGGGAACCAAAAGGTCCTCTACCTAGCTCCTAAAGACATGTTTCATGTTTACTATGTGTAAGCAAACTGGCTTTTGACTTGGTCGTTTTAGTAATTCTGACCATCTTCACAATAAATCCTAAGCAGACTGTATTATATTGTTAAATATATATTCATTTCCCTAGTCTCAGTCTAAAAAGAAAGTATCTTTTGATGGGAACTTAAGCTTTGGTTCCCAAATTGTTCCACTTCCTGTACCGTGTATTGAATGTGTACAAGTAAAGGAACTATGTTAGGAAATTCTAAATTAAAATTTCACCAACAGATAAAAGGGGATGTGATCCATTACTACATGACTTTAAGGTATGCAAGTTAGGTAAAAGTAAGTTGATTGCTTATTTTTACTCTTATCTAAAATTAAGAGAATGTTTTTTAAATGACAGCTGAAATACCCTCTAAAGACTACTGGTACTTTGTTGGTATTTGTACAGAGCCAACCAAACCCTTATCATGACTAAAAATGAAATTAATTTCATACTAACTCAGTCAAGTTAAGATAAATCAAGCATAAAAATTACCACAGAATAGCCTAGAGAATTACCACAGTTATTCTTTCAAACAGATGAAATATTTAACCTTTGAGTCAACAAGAACAGAAAAAGAAGTAAGGCATGTATCAAAATCTCAAATTCATCAGAAGTCAGAAAACACTATGAAGTGGACTTAAACAGACACTAAGCAAAGATTCTCACAAAACAGGTATCATAACCTGGAACACCTCACTTTATCATAAAATATAGTTTAAGACTTAAAAAGCAAAGATCTAAGACAATTCCATCACTGTACTACTTTAACATTCAAATAATTTATTTCCATTTTCCTGAGGCTTTTGTGTATTTTTATTGCAGTTGCCAGTATTTATCAATTACATATTTTCTCACTACATCAATAGTCTCTTAACTTCTTTTTTATATATTGGAAACAAGAAAATACCTTAGCTGCAGGGATCTCTAAAAGAGCTCCAAGTTCTTCAAAGGTAATATTATTATATAATTTGCTTGCAGACAACAAATTGTGTTCAATAACAGCTCTGTCCAAGATGCTAGAACCTTAAATAAATATAAATAAGACAGTTATAAGCTTGAAACTTGTTTTACACGTTTTTCTAAAAAAGATTTATTATTTGAGAGAGTGAGTGAGTGGGAGGGAGGGGCAGAGGAAGAATGAGAGAGAATCTCAGGCCGACTCCAAGCTGAGCGGAGCCCCACATGGGGCTCAATCTCATAACTCTGATCGATCACGAATTGATCCAAAACCAAGAGTCAGACGCTCAACCGACTGTGCCACCGAGGCGCCCACTTTTAAAAGACTCCTTTTTTTTTTCTAAAAATTTCTACACATGTAACAACCCATAATCATTTTCTTTATTCCTTTTACCAAATTGTAAAAGTAAGGAAAATGCCTTATTTGGTAGAGTTTGAATAATATACAACTAAATACAAATAACATATTTAGAAAGTAAGTGATTGGCAAGTAGCTACTAACAGGCTGAATGGATTTAACCTGTTAGGTTTGGGGTTCTGCTTCCTTAGGGTAGCTATCAGATTCATTAACTTTACTCTTCTTGTGCAATTAGCACAAACTTTTATTAGCAAGAAGCAGCAAAACTACCATGCAACCTGTTCTGCAAGCTTGACAAAGTCAATACATATACAGCTCAGTAGAAATACCTCTCTCCTTTTGGGCATTCCATAAGCACCTTACTGTGAGGCAAAGATGAGAAATGTCTAGAAGGTAGGGCCAGCTAACCACGGGAGATCAGGTATAGCATCCTCCCTTAAGTGAGGTGACATAAGGCCTGACGAAGTGCTGGACATAAGGCCCCATTCTGAAGGTGTCTGACTGCTAGGCTCACCCAATTCTTTCTTTTTTTTAATTTCCAGTTTCATGGAGATATAATTGACAGAGTATTGTTGTTGTTTTTAATTTCAATGATTTTTTCTTTCTTTTTTTTTTAGATTTTATTTATTTATTTGAGAGAGAGAGAATGAGAGATAGAGAGCACGAGAGGGAAGAGGGTCAGAGGGAGAAGCAGACTCCCCGCTGAGCAGGGAGCCCGATGTGGGACTCAATCCCAGGCCTCCAGGATCATGACCTGAGCCGAAGGCAGTCGCTTAACCAACTGAGCCACCCAGGCGCCCTCCATGATTTTTTTCAAGTTTTCACTGAAATTCCAGTTACTTAACATACAGTGTTACATTTTTAATTTAGGTATAGAATCTAGTGATTCATCACTTATATCCACTTATATCCAACACCCAGTGCTCATCACAAGTGCCTTCCTTAATACCCATCACCCATTTAACCAATCCCCCTGACCCTCCCCTCTAGTAACTTTGTTTGTTCTCTATAGTTAACAGTCTGTTTTCTGGTTCGCCTCCTTTTCTGCTTATTTTCATCTGTTTTGTTTCTTAAATTTCACATATGAGTGAAATCATATAGTATTTTTCTTTCTCTGACTTATTTCACTTAGCATTATACATTCTAGCTCCATCCATGTCGTTGCACATGGCAAGATTTCATTCTTTTTTATGGCTGAATAATATTCCGGTGTGTGTGTGTGTGTGTGTGTGTGTGTGTGTGTGTGTGTGTGTGTGTGTGT